AAGCTGGAATTTTAAGAGGGATGTTCAATTCTTTTAACTAGAAGCATCTGTCGGAAAAACAATGCCATTAGCGACAAAAACTTGCGGGGGACTGTGCAAAGAACGCTTCTTCGTACTGACAGTCAGTGCGCTGGCCAATTATTTAGCAAGCAGAGTACTGGCAGTATTCCGTACGTGTGGTGAATTTATTTATCGAAATTAAAATACTGTAATCGCCTGGGCAGTTAATGCGAAGCCGTAGATGCTAGTGGAACATAGCAACACGAAGCACACTTTTTTGTCCATCTATCCCCACCTGGTTTGGCAAGTGCCTCTGAGATTAACCATCAACAGCCGCTGGCCCATCGATTATTCCATTCTCCTATTTTTACGGGAAGGTGAGGTGATGGTATATCAGACGTACCAGTTCGGGTCGAAATGCACATTGAGAGTAAATTGTCCCACGGATGGGCTGCGAGGTAGCCGTCTGACGATTTTCAACAGAACACTATTTATGTATTATCGCGTTTGCACCTCCCAACACCCTTACTTCTGAGGTCGCATAGTACAGTGTTCCTAAATAAAAATCCGGGAATATTCTCCGTGTATTGAACTAAATACTTCGTTGGGCAACAACAGTTCTTCTGGTTACAGACTGGCGCGCTCGAAGAACCTGCTCAATGTGATCAACAAGCATTTTGGGACACTGGCGTTTTGTCGACGATGGCTGGATCGTTTGGGCGAGACGAAGTATCTGATGGCACTCAAGGATCTTTGTGATAAGGGTATCGTCCAGGCTTATCCGCCACTGTGCGATATCAAAGGCTCCTACACCGCCCAGTGGGAACATACAATCGTGCTACGACCAACATGCAAAGAGGTGCTCAGCCGTGGTGAAGATTACTAGTCCTCGTGTCCTGTGTTGATTGGCCGCTCACGTCATGTTGGGCCGCCTGTTTTACTGAAATACTGTGAAAATAACAATCCCAATTCGGTGTAAATGTTTGTTACGTCAGAGCTGTGTTTGTTGGACACAATATCCAGCAGAATTAGTCTAGCCCAGTGCCGCAGAATTTCCCTATCTCCATAGAATAAGAATCGGTGCGGGCTTGTTTGTTAGCTTCGTTAGACGAAGATGCCTTGTGTATCATTCATTATGCGGATGCCGGAGAAGGGCATTCTTTAGCTGCCTCAGGATACAGCAGTGATCCAAACAAGCTGTCCGAGATTTTTTATTGAGTCATCATATAAGCAACGATC